GAGCTCTGGCTCCGCTCTGGCTCCGGCTCCCTCCGCAGCCTGCGGGCGGGGCTCCCAGCCCATCCGGAGTCTTGCGGCGCCCCCGCCGCTCTGCCAGCAGCGTGGCCTCCCGGTTCCCAGCCTCCCGGCCTGGGGGCCCCCCCACCCAGCGGAGTCGCTGACCCAACTGCTCTCCCGCTGCCCCCAGCTGCGCTCGGGCCGCTGCAGCCTCGGCGCGCCCCCTCCCTGCTTCCTGCCTCGGCAGTTTTGCAGTTTTTGCCCCGGCCGGCCGAGCGGCAGCCCTGGATCGCGCCCCGTTCCTTCCTTCCTTCACGCATTCCTCGAGCGCCTGCGGCGTGCCCCGCACAAGGCCTCCCCGACCTTCTGAGTGGGGCCTGGGGCCCGCTGGGGTCCTCCGGGAAGCCGGCCCTCCACCCCCGTCCCCGTCCCCACCCGCCTCGGCCTCTCCTCTCTGAGGCCCTAGTTCACTCGCAGAGCTTAGCATTTAATTGTTCTCTCTGATTATTTCTCCCCGTTAAGGGTCAGTCGGTGGCTGGGTCAAGAGGTCGCTTTGCGACCAAAATCAGGGGTCGGTGTGAAAGAGCCAGGGGCCAGAGTGTGGCCAGAGTCGGGGTTTCAGCCTGACTGAGGCAGGGTTTGGGGATAAGTGTGGGTAGAAGTTGGCAGCAGGATTGGCAGCCTGTGGCCCGGGCTCATAGACGGGGTGCGAGGGGTTAGTTAGCCTGAGTAGCATCAGTGGCCAAGGTTAGTGAGTCAGTCTTTGGGTAGGGTTAGCGGATGGTCTGGATCAAGGTAGTCAGTCACCCTGAGACCAGGATTGGGGGGTTGCCTTTGACAAGCCAGGTGAGCAGAGGGGGGCGCTGTAGCGGTCTGAATTCAGCTTCACATTCCTCCCTGGCTGGGGGCTGATCATAGTCTCTCCCTATGCCACCCAGGTGGTGGGGGAGCCGACATGCCATCTGGGCACACTGCCTCTCCTCCTCAACACCATCCTGCTCCTGCTTTGTGCCAGAAGCTGGAGGCAGAAGCCCTCGCTGGGCCAGACTGTGGCCAAAGGCGGCCCAGACCTGCAGTAACACTGGCCATGGTAGGGAGGCCTTAGGCTTCCACCGCCCCAAGTCTGGAGCCACCCATATTCAACAGGTAAGTCAGTGCTCTCCCCTGTACCTTCTGTCATTTGTTCACAAATCTAAAGTCTGTCGGGGACAGAAGAGCCGGTAGAGGTCATGAGTGTGATCCAAGGGGGGAAGGAGCCTACTCAGGAACACAGCAGGTTAGTAGTTGAGAAAGGACTCAAGTCCAAGCCTCCTAGCTGGGGACCATCCAGGGCTCTTTCCGTGCTCCTCTGCCTGCCCTGAGTA